CCGATTTACTCCTGCTCGCAACGACGGCTCGTAAAGAGCGATTTCACAAGAAAAACAATCGATTTGACGATGTTTGTCGGATTGCGAGTGGGAGTAGGAGGAGGTGGGGTGCCGACCTCTCGATAGTCAAAATTTTATCCGCGGATGTTGGCGACGGACATGATCCGGAACGAGACGAGTCATTCTCAGATCGGACGAAAAATTTAAATGTATTCGAACGAATGACGGATGGAACTTGAGCTTGAGATTAAAATGCAGAAGACGTAGATGTAAGAGCGCGATAACCGAGTAGTGCCGCGGATTGTACGGGGAAAACTTTTATTTATTCACTCAAATCAAACTTTATTTACACTAGATTTATTAAATTAATTAAATTATCGTTAATTGATTGACTTTGACATTTTATGTGCAATGATGTATAACTTTTTAAGGTATAGTTCATTACAGACTTCGTTTGTTTTCACATTATGTTTAATTAATTTTTTTCTAGCTCCTTTCATCGTTATCTAGGCAGATTTGCTTTTACGACAAACAAGTGCACGAATCGGTAAGAAAGAATGATATACGAATACAATAATTCGCTGCCATTATAAAAATACGTAGGTAAATTAGTAGTTACGAGTAATTATATGAACGATATTTTTATTATCATACTAATACCTGATTAAAAATACTCTAGAAATCATTTTACTCGGAGAAGATTTTCGTAGATGATTATTGTTTTGTTTTTTTTTTTTCTTGTTGTTGTTGTTGTTGTTTTAATCAAACTAAATAATTAGCCTTGTCATTATTATCAATTTAATTGCATTAATAATTGTTTAAAAAATAAAATAACATGAAGCAACAAAAGTTTTAAAAGATAAAACATTTTTCCTATAGAATAGACGCGATATTATTAAAATAGGCCTTACTTGTCTTCATTTCTACATCGTTTGTGCCAGGGTGATCATTATTTTTTCAGTACGTAATTGGATTTATTTTTAACGGCTCCACATGTATGTCAATTTTCTTCGTCAACGACATTTTTTTAAATTCCCCTGCCGATTATTCACAAGATTTTGTTACTTCGAACGATTTAAATATTTTCAGTAATTTCAGAATCAATACTTTCTATCTATTTCTTAAAACGTATTGGTTATAATATCTATATATATATATATATATATATATATATATATAATTTAATGAATTTAACGTTAGTTTAATGGGAAATTTAATTTGATGCAATATTATGATATTTTGCATTAATTCTATGATGTTTGATTTAATTTTTATATTTGTAAAACAACCTATAAGCGTTATATTAAAATTCTCATTTTAATAGAGATTTTAACGATTACATTCTTTATTTAACATCAAATTTTAAATTGATTTATTACTATTTTAAATTCGCGTAATCAAAATATTAATTGTGTACGCGCGTTCGTTGTATATTTATTTATTTTTCTCTTAAATTCATGAATAAATTAAAGGAAGTGTCAGTATAGAATTGACATTTTCTTTTTCTATATCAAATTTTCTACAAATTTAACAATAATATAAATTTATTGGAGCAAATCTTTCGCACGATCATTGATATTTTCCTGATTTTTTAATTTTTCCCTACTACTCGGGTGTATAAATAATAATTACACAGTATCTCTAGTTATGAAAATAGTTCACATTTGTATTTTCAATATTTCCTTCTAATTCTCAATGATATTGCAAGTAATGCCATTTTCAAAGATTTTTTTCAAAAAAAAAAATCGAATATTTGAAACGATTTAGTAATTCAATATATTACTGTTAATAATTGATCTGTTTGTGCAAACTTGATGTCGATTAATTCTATTTAATCCATTATCATTTTAATATCTTTCAATTATTGGTTGTTCATCGATAGACTCATTTTACAATTAATTCCTGTTTGATTTCAATTCGATGATAATCATGGTCAGCAATTTCGTATCTCTTAGCTGATTTTATATTTATAATATAATATTGAATATTATTTTTAATATTAAATCATTAGTTTTGTAAATTACAACAAAATCCCACTATCGAAACATTAACGGCTTCTTTAATGATCCATGATTGCTGCTTTATCCGTATATTTGAATTTATCTTGTATGTCGATTAACACGAGACTACAGACAATTAAAAATTTTTCATCATACACATAGAATATAACAGAGCTTCTTTTTCACTTTACACTGCTATTCTTATTACATTTATTATGATTTTTTTTTCTCCTTCAAGTTGAAAAGAAATGTATTAATTTGTCTGCGAGTTATTTACTTAACGAGCCTACCTTTAATAATTTTCATTGAGCGTTAGTTTTCTAGTTGAAATTATGATCTTAATCTTCCACTGTCCTTTTTACATCTGCTCTTCTTAAGCAACGGCGAAGTGCTTTATCGCGGCTTGCATTAGAAGAAGTAAGGAAATTTATGATTGCAAATATCTGAAGTTGCAATTACATATTCATTTTAATTTTTTATTTTACTCATTTGCGAGAGGTTTTGTTATTTTGATTTTTGAAACTACACGCATTATTCACATTCTGTAACATTCAATAATTCTATAAATCTAATTTAATTTTAACTGACTTGATAATTTAATTGTGATAATATATTTAATATTTAGTTTTAAATAAACTAAAGAAAGCAACGGAAGGTATAACGTTCAAAGACAAATTTATACAAATATAACATAAGAAATTTTCATGCACTAGATCTCGTTCGCCTCAATATTATTAGGCCGTTCGTATTTACAGTTACCAATATTGTAATATAAAAAATTGTAAATCTTTGACTAGAATGAGGAAACTGATGAGAAGTGAATTTAAATGATATATTTAAAGTATTCTTTATGTATTCATGATCACTGGTGCATTTATAATCTGATCCATTTGAAATAACAAGCTGCTCTCAAGATTTGATCCTAACTACACGAAACACGCGATTTCCGTATGATTTGATTCCTTTAGTTCACGTTACTTCATAGTTAGGGAGTCGTCATTCATGTTTTGTTAAATTCTTATTTATCGTTGTTGGTTTTGCAAAGAAAAAACTTGATACACTTTGCATAGATATTTTACAAGAATATTTAAGCGAGTAAGCTTTTGAATTATTCCATAAGAAAACAAAATCGATACAAAATTGATAAAGTACGGATTTTCACTCCATAATTAAATTTAAAAAATTTTTTAATTTACAAAAAATAATTGTACAGATTTTCGTTAAACGATTATTTGTTGAATTAATGTCAATTTTACGTAATTTTACGAATATCTAATTACGTATAAATCTAGAATGAAAATGAAAAAAATTGTTTAAAAATTGTATCGAATGAAAAATAACATAAATTATGAAAATATTTTAAATTTTTACGATATGGCAATATTAATTAGTTATATATATGCAATGAAAAATAGTTTAAACATCGTTTTACAAAGACTAAATAACTATTACTCAATATTTGTAAAAAAAATTACCGTTTCATTTAAAAGATGAATGCACAAATTCTAAATTCTTTTTATACATAATTATTCGAAATTTGAAAATGTTATTATTAATTGTATTCCAAAGATAGTCGATTAAAAAATTTTCACCTACTGAAATATCTATTATTATGTATTATCTAACCATATCTCTTATAAATTCATTAATTTCATGTAATACATAAAAACGAATATATAAATATCTGATGAACGTTCAGTGTTTAATATATAATTTTTTGACGTAAAAAATCCAAAAACATGAACGTGAAACATAAATCAGTATTTTATGTATTATTAAAATATGAATAATTAATTAGAACGATAAATCAAATAATTTTTTTAAAACTATGAATCATAAATTAATATTTTCAATTCTACATTAGTTGTATTATTATAAGGTATAATAATTTAACTGATAGGAAATTTATTTAATTGAAATTCGAAATATAACACATTTATATAGTTTGATATTATTTCAAACCCTAAACTTCACTACGTTTCTAATGACTAACAATAAATTTTTAATAATATAAACACTTTTTTACCTAATTTCTAGTAAATTTTATAATTGGAAATTTTATTTAAAACTATCAGCCAAATATTTACAAATAAGCAAATTTTATAATTTTATTACTAATTCAGATCTTTTGAATTTTATCATAAAAATTTTACAAGATTCCTTAAAAAAATAGAGTGATTTTTAACTTTCCTATTTTATTTTATAATAAAATTTATTGTATAAAAAGAAAATAAACGTAAATAATTAATTGTTGTATTTGGCCTTCTATACTATATATAAGGGCATATTAATATAAATATCAAATATTCTTATATTTCATATTTTTAATACTTTTATTCATAAGCAGTAATATCACAAATTTTTGAAAAATATTAATAAAATACAAAAAGAGTATAAAAAAATTCATAAAAATTGTATGTAAATTAATTTTAAAAAGTCATTTTTCAATTAAAAGCTTAAAAGTTTATATCGTACAATTGTAAGTTTTATACTAAAATAATCATATTTATAGTCTTTTTATATTAATTTAAGACTGTATTATATTATAGATGAAAACAAATCTTTAATATATTATATATTTAATAGATTTATGTACAAAATATTTCAGAGCATCGAAACTAATATTTATCTTATATATAGACATGTGTGAAAATATATTATTTGTCACTCTACAAACTATTTTATTATAGCAATATAAAATTCTTAGATTAGCATTTTAATTATAAAATAATACTTTAAAAGATTAAAAATTTACCTAATATTAAAATTCTTTTTGCTTTTAAGTTAACGTAAAAACATTTTATTTATCCTTTAATACAAGTATCTGTTAGGTACAAAAAATATAATCTGAAATTTCAATTATTTTAATAATTTAATATTCATCTAGTTATTATATTAAAATATCTTGACTTGCCTTTATTATAATATTTTTTGCAAGTTTATTTGAGCATAGATTTAACAATATCAAACTCTTTACACTATTATCCAGTTGTGAAATAAATCTCTCTTAATTACAATCATTCTTTTCACATTTACTTGTATTTCTATTTTTGTTATTTAATCGTTCTTTAATTAAATTTATAAAATCTATATTTTGACTTTTGTCTTTACTAGATCTAAGTGCAATAGCTGTGCTTTGCTTGATGGCTTTTCTAGATTGTCGTTTTGTACGACGCAAACTATTTTGTTGTTTAGGTTTATTATTAAGTGTCTGTGCATAATTATCTTCAGATAATTCTTGAGAATAATCGCTTTGTGACATAGAAATTCCCGAATCTTTTTCCGTCTCATTATTTTCTATCTGTTTCACTAAAAATTCATTGCTTAGAGGAATATTTAAAATACTTTCATCGGACGTATCCATGCAAATTGTTTGTTTATTAGCAACTCTGCCACCGTTAGCAAAAGCAGACATACCTTTACGTCTCCACATTATCGAAGTTCTAGCAACAGCCTGTTTACATGTACCTTCAAAATGGAATTCATTGAGATTCACTTCGTCGATCTCACCTTTTAAGAAAGCTAAATATTTTTTAAGCGAGGTGTAAAAATGTAATTTGTCCTGCATTCTAGGAAAGTTTGCGCATCTAGCACTACTCGAAGGTACTACCCAAAGAGCTGTGTCTCCGACTCTATTAGGTTGTAGGCCAAAGCAAAACGATGACTTATCAAATTTATCGACAAACTCTTCGTAGATGCATTTTCCATTAAATATAGCAATTTTTGGCCGGAAATGCTTCAACTTTTCTTGTACAAGTATCGCACCCTTTCTTATTTCTGATTTACTTAAGTCTGCCGATGATCTTGTTGCTCTAGCTACTATGTTTGTCAAACCAATTTTGTATTGCAATAGTTTATAATCTTCTTCATAAGTTACAGCCTTGGGTATTAATTTTGATTCAAAGAGTAGTTTATAAAAGTGATTCCCCGGACCGGCATAATATCTTCCTGTATGAGCTGCCATTAAACTAGGGTTAATACCAACAAAAACTAAATCTAAATCAACTTCTAAGATATCTTTAAGAGTATTTTTTTTAACTTCTTCCTCTGACAAGCCATCGAACCTATTAATTTTTTTTGTTGCTTTTTCAATACCTACGGGTACTGCTCGTTTTGTAAGATTTTGCAAAGATAGTGACATGATTCTGTACAATTACTCATAAACTATTTATTGAACAAATTTTGAGAATATCAAAGTTGAATTTTTTTATTCACGATAAACTTATAATACGTAATGAAAGCAAGTGTTATTGTTTACATGCTTCTTGTAATGTGACGAATGGCGCCAAATTTCTACTCTCATATATAAAGTCAATAACATCATGTGATTACTGTTGTTATCACATGTTGTACTACGAGATGCAAAATATTAACCAATTAGAGAATGTTTAGACGAAGTTCCATAAGAAAATTTAATTTATTGTAGATTTCGATTGGTTTGATCTGTCCAACCTAACCGATACCTTCCAACTTATCAATTGTCCATAACGAGCGTAATTTACATTACCGATAATAGTTACGGTAATATAAATATTATCGACGAAATTTTATTGTTAATACAAAAGCATAAGCATATAATGCATCAAATGATTCATTAGATAGTGTGCTATTGGTCTAAAATTAAATTTAATATTTTTACAATATATTTTGATGAAAAACATTTGTTAATCGGGTATATATTATGCTTATTATCAAATAGCTGTTAATAAAAAGAAACCAAAAAATTAATTAATTTAGCACTTATGCTTAAATGATGACTAAACAATATAGTTAAATATAGAAATGTAGAAATAGGATAAATAAATGTCAAAGAGACTGAATAAATATATATACATTTATTTTAAATTATTTACATGCTGAAGTATAGAGAATTATTTGAAAATTTCAGATGAGAACATCACTGAACATCAGAAAAGAATTTTTACATAAAATTTAAGAATCTTTAATTAAAAATTGTATATATTTACTTTTGTTATAAATTGATATTATTTTTAAATTATGAAATTTTGGGTCTGAATTTTAATTATTTCATTTTTAATTAATTCATATTTGCACACAGTATGTTTTTACTACTGAATTATTGATTATACAATTAATACTATTATAATTATAATAAAAAAATTGATTAATTATTTTTTATTTCATAGAATAGAATTAGATGAAGTTCAGTAAGTGTAATAATTTTATTTTTTCCTAATAAATAAAATAAGTTTGCTGATGGTAGGAGCTAAAAAACATTTCTGCTATTTATTAAATACTATTTATTAAATAATTAGAGTTTTATTGTGTGTACTTACTAGTTCGTAAAGAATAAACTTTTAACATGACTAAATATGGGAAAAACCGGAGTAGACAATACTTTTGTGTTAGAACATATTATTTAGAAATAAATGAAGAATATTATAATTTATTATTGTTCAATAATTTTTAACAATATAATTACATTTTTAAATTTATTAATAGAAACAAATGTTCACGTAAATAGTTAGTTTAAATGTCTATCTAAGCATATATACATTTTTTTTTATTATACAAATAATTCAAATAAATAAAATTTATAATATAGTATACATTTCAACTTTCATTCATTTATAGAATTAACTACCACAGTTTGTTTATTATTTACACATTAATACAATATTTTATTCGATGAGAAAATTGTGAGCAAATGAATTTAGATAAATAAAGTGAGAATGTGAGAAATGTGTGTCAAAATGATTTTAATCTTTAGATTCTATACTTTCCAAATATATTCAAATAATTGAAATGATAGAATTCCTTCGGTAATTAAAGTATTTACAAAAATATAGATTACGATATTATATTCTTATAATTTCATAGGTAATGAAATGACGAATAAGACATTTTTACAATTATAAACATAATAATTGAAAAAGAAATGAAATATAAGAATATGATATAAGAATATAATATAAGAATACGTTGTCAAAAATGTTATTGAATTTATTTCACATATTTATTATGCTAACTATTATAATATAAATGATTTTAATAAATTATAAAGGACAATCGTTAGAAACATAATGATTAGAAATAGATTTCTCTTCTAGTTCTTTAAAATTTTAATATTTTATAAATTTTTTTATTATTTTTCAGTTTGTTACGATAGGACTGATAGATTAATTATATAACAACAGCTGTCACTAATAAATATACGGAATGAATTTAGTTGTGTTCTATCTTTATATATCTTTAAAACTTTGTTAAATACTTGCAATATTATTTGTAAGTGCAAAATCTAATTTTTCAATTAATTATTAGATTACTTTCTATTCATGGTATTGCAAATTTATATACTTAATTTGGCTACATATTAGTAAAATAGAGAGAGAGAGAGAGAGAGAGAGAGAGAAGTCTTTTTCGATATAATTTACTAGAAAGAGTAGATTATAATGTTCTTCCGTTTAATATTATTCTTTTTAAAACTCTATTTTCTATGTAAAATGCCATTACTACAAATTATCTGATAGAACGAAAAATAAAAATAGTATTTTATTAATGACGAAAATAATTGATTAATGGATGAATGAATCTTTAATGTGAATATTTTTATCTACAATGACTGTAATAAAAATTGATTTAAATAATATCGTAGAAGTGTTTTTTAACTATTTATATGATAACGTATTATTCTATAAGAGTTTAGTTTCTAAAAATATTATATTTAAAATTGTTTAGTGTTTTGTATAACTTCTATACTCCTATAGATATAAATATTAGTTAACTATTCTTTGCCTTATTTAATCCTGGAAATAATTTAATTAGATATTAAGTTAAAATAATTAAATATTATATTTATATATGTTTTGGAAAATGTTAAACAGGATATTTTTATTTCTATAATTTTTTTTATAAATTTTTTAATAAAGATTACTTTCAATTATCTATATTAGGAAGCTTTTGTTTTCATTATCAAAATTTTATTTTTTTATAATTAAGAGTATTCATTTAAATAGATAATTTTTTATTATTGAGAATTGTGAAGTTAGCTAGATTTTTTTTTCATCGCTCAAGCTCATGGATTTGATTAAATTTCAAAGGTTCTTAAATGCGGAAAAATGTGATTGATTATATTACTATAGTATTAGTTTTTTTTTTTGTAATAGATAATGATGATGATAAAATTAAATCTTTGATGAGTAATTGTGAGTTTTATACATTTTTATTACAAAAAAGTATTCGCTCTTAATAGTAAAAGGCAATGTAATGTTAGTAAGAAATATGTTTACGTTATATACAAGTCGCCAACGCAATGTTTCAAACGCTAATTTATGTGAGTAAACTCCGTTAACACAAACACTTTGTTATTATTCTACACGTGTATAATAATTAGTTTCAATCATTACAATTATTTATAGCATTATCGCACCCTGCACACTTACAAGATAAACCATTTTATCAATTCTTTTTAAATAATTTAAAGATGTGGTACATATTGTTTCATTTTATAAAAATTAGAGATTCATTTTAGATCAGAATCAAATCTTATAACAATGCTGTATTTTTCATTAGTTATCATTAGTGCTGACTAGTTAACTATAAGTCATTTTACTATATTTAATATTAATTATTCATGAATTTACAGTACATGTAATATAACATACTACAAACATATAACGGAGAAATAGGTAGAAGTATTGTACAAATAAAAAAGAACAAAAGCTTTGTTGTTTTTGAGATTGTACAAACTATTTCATATATATTAATAAAACTATTGTATATACATTAATGTTAGATTAAATTTTTTAACAAATTACAGTTGAACATAAGAACAAATTGGTGCATAATCTGTTATTCCATATATATCTTATTTAGTATATATTTTATAAACTATGCATTATTAAATAAATTTATTAATTTTTTAATTAAATTTTATGTGAATAAACTTATTTTCATTATCCTGTTAATTTAAAAATCATATTTAATACATTACATCATAGTAAAGAATTTACTTATATTTTTTAAACATGCATTTTGCATGACGTCTACGTTAATAAGAGAATATGATTTGTTTCAATAATATTTTCTTGTTACTTTTAATTATTTAATATGTCTATAATTTTGAATTTTAATAAATTTCAATCATTTCTTATTATTTTAATAGTATTTAATTTCTTTCAAATATATATATTCATCTATTCAAATTAAAGATTTTACAATTCCTGATAATTAATTTTCATAAATATATTGAAATATCGTTATTGTGGATTTATTATTAAAAAAAAAAAAAAAAAAAAAAAAAAACTAAAAAACAAATAAGTAAATTAAATCATAACAGAAGTTTTACATATATTGTAAATTCCTAATAATTAGTACATATTTTTACTACTTATAATTTCATTATACCTGTATTGACGAATTTTTTAATTGTATTCTATACGAACTAATTAATGTTAAGCGAACAAAGAAGATAATTAATTTTATAAAAAATACTATGTAACAAATGTTTTCAAAATATAATATCGCTTCGAGTATAAAACATTTTAAGGAAATTGAGAAAATAGTGAATCAATAATCGTTGTTTCATAAAATATAAATCTTATTATTTTGAGCCAATCATATCGTATTTTAAATAGAAAATACAACAAATTCATACAATCTGATTAAATGGAATATAAAAATTCTCAGACGTAATAGGACTCTAACTGCACAGTATTTTTAATTTTTTTCTAATTTTTTTTGTTTTTTTTTTTCTTTTTATAATAGTATAATTTCAAAGACTTTAAATTCTTAATTCATTATAGTATCTTATACAGTGTTTAAACATATTTTCACTGACTTAAGGTACAATAAAATCGCAATAATTAGTTATCACTACCGTTATTCAAGAACAAAAAATAATTCCTAATAATAAATGTAAATTTTGTAAATATGTTAAATATTTATTATTTAAAAAATGATCGAGGAACAAATAATTTCATAGAAAAATAACGGATATTATGTTACAAACAGTAATTAACAAACAAGAATGAAAGACACGATTTATAAAATACAAGATCAGAAAATACAATAGTTTCTTTGCAAGTTTTAAAGGCTTTTTTTTATATATTAAATTTGTATTATATTAAAATATACAAAAATTTTATGTATGTTGGGAAAATGAATATGCCTAATGGAATAAATATGTCAAATAAAAATATTTTATTTCAAAATTCAGGTTAGACAGTGTTAGAGAGTATAAATAAAAGTAATATAAAGGAAAAACAAAGCATAAATAAAAAAAAAAGATATGTATGTATATATATTGACATTTTAAATGGCATATACTTTCACTATATTCTAAAATATTATAAGTATATTTATCAAAGTTTATTTCTTGTATTTAATATTAAAAAATTAATATAGATTTTCTCCTAATTTATATACAAAATAAAATCTAAATGTTCATACAAACAAATTTATGCATTATATATTATGGTAATTTGTTGCTCGATTAATAATACATATCATTTACAGAAATTTTTAAAGTAATAAATCGACAAAGTATCGTAATAATTGAATGTTTTTTTATGATTTTTATAATTAAACAACGGTAATGACGATCTTATTATAAGCACTACTCTCTTATCACACTACTGACTTTATAAAGTTTATAGCGAAAAGTCTTATTTAAATATTTCGTATTTCTATGAGATATAATATATACGATATATACTAAATTTCAAATGTTTGATGGTATTTTAAAAAATTCTTGCTTTTCTTTGCCTATTTTTCATTATGAAGAAATGTTGAATTTATTATTAAGAATTTATTGGTAAGGTGTGCGCGCATTTCAAATACAATTCAAGCATTCATTAAAATTCTTGGTTGAAATATTTTTGTAAGATATGCACGTAAATTGTCCAGGCCGATATTATGTTATAGATGTAGCAACATACACATCGTCTATTGCAATTTATATAAATTTTTTCAACAAGAATAAATAAAATGAGGTTTTTTAAAAAATATATATAATTGTCACAATTGTCGTGATTATAAAGAAAATTTTCTATTTAATCTTTTGTTGATATTTATGATATACATTACAAATTGAACAATAACAAATTATTTTACTCGTACATAAATCTCGTAAGAAAGTATAATTTATATGATTTAATAATTAACATAAGATATGTGAAATACAATGTATTTGTACTTTATTTGAGGTTACTTGGTAAATATATTTACAGTTATTTTTTCATAATTCCAAATTTTCTCACACAAATATTTCCACCAAGAATACAAGGGAAAAAAATTAATACTACACATTGCATTTTATATATAAATGAAAATAAAATAAAACATTTCTCTGATGTTTTTGTTGGGGTCGTTCATGATCACACTAGTCACTTGAATTCATATGCAACAGCCTCACAGCAACGGGAAACATTTGGATTAAAAATATTTTATACGGTAAGACATGAACTGTACTAAGTATAATATAATTATTTAAAAAAATAAAAAATAAAAAAAATCTCAGAATTAAAATATTTATAAAATGATTGCATGGATTATTAAAACTTTTTATCAGTAAAAAATAATTATTCATAATTAATGTTTTATATTACAATTATAATAACTTGTAAATATTAACGGAAACTTATAAATAAAAAATTATTAAAAATAATTATTCATTGTATCAATATTGCATAATAAAAATTTTGTATTAGTTTGGAAAGTAATGATACATACATATGCAAACGAATATAAAAAAAAAAAAAAAAAAAAAAAATTAAAAAAAAAAAAACATTGTTACAGTTTAAATATAAAACACGTATAAGTACATCGTAATCATCCAATATCTATCTTTTATCGCTCCGAGTTTAGGAGATGTCGTAGATTCAAGTCTACTCAATCGATTTTACAATATGTTTATGGAACGTGTTTCCGATTACGATGTAATGTATAAGATATCACAAATTTCTCTTTTTCTTAACATTTAGATCAAAGAATAAAAAGAATTTTTTAAATAAAGTCACGCCTATCTTTACATATACAGGCTGATTTTCATGTAAATTAAAGCATAAATGAAATTTGTTATTTATGCAAAAACTAAACAAATTCAGCTTACAAATTTAAGTTAATTTTAGCTCGCATACTCTCCTACCGACAATAGTGAATGCGCACGATTAATCGCTCGATAATTCGCAATTTCTTATACAGACACATAAAAACGCCACTCTAAGCTTAAAATATGTGGACCATTAGTAGTAAAGTAACTACTTGACATCACCAAACAAATCTCTAATTATTCATTTAGTTAGCATAACGTAGCTAATGCTTAATCACAGTCGCCGGATTCTTGATTGTATCGGTTGACTTCCTGGGTTCGTCCTCTCGCCGGCTCATTGTCCTCCTGGGGCTCGGCGAAGGGCTCGGCGACGAACTCGGCGAACGCGACGAGGAACTACTGCTGCTGCTGCTGCTGCTGCTGCTGCTGCTGCTGCCGTTGCTGGTATTCGTAGACCGGTATCTCATCACACGTTCCCGGCGCTTTTGCTCGATTAGATTATGGTGGGTATGGAGTGGCCCCCGGATAATCCTCAGCATCCTCTCGAGTTCGTACGCCTCGTCCTTCAACCTGTTGTAGCGATCGAGATCGAAACCGAGCTTACGCGCTTTCTTGTGCAGGCCGATCAGATGTTCACGGCTGAAAACTTCCGGCAGCATGTATTCCTGTGGAGCGGAATATTCAGTTTAATATTGCGTGTGGGCGTTAAAGCATTAAGATAAATAATGGTGCGTCGAGAGCTGATTTATGGGCTTTTAAGAGCTTTAATACTAAAGTAGACGAATCGCTTAAAGGAAAGTGCAAAGCAAGATAATGGAGTTCTATAGCCGGTCAACTATTTCATTACAATCAAGCGATTGTAATAGTTTGTGACATAATAAATTCTCTTGATTAAAGCAATCAGAATTTTTTATTCTTGAATTTTGTATTCTTGCTGGGAAATGATAAAAGATAAAAGAAGTAAATTTTTCAACAAACGAAATTCAAGTTAATGTATTCTTCTATGATTCAATAATCATCTGATATTTAATCACTGAAATAACTTATTTACATTTATTATAAAAATATACTTGCAAATAAGAATATTTTTTACAAATGCCTTTTGATGAACTACTATGTAAAGTATATTAAAATATAATTTCTGTACGTTATATATATATATATAAGTTTTTATTTTATATTATTAGTTTTTTTTTATATATAAGCAGTATTTAGAATTTATTCACCAAATAATTAGATATAATTTGGAATTAGATTTAAAGAAAAAAAAAATACCTATCAGTAACTAAAAATTCTTTTATCATAAATTATCATGTAGAATTCATGTAATAATGGACATTACTTTGTAAAAAAGATTAATTTAATTATATAATTTGAAATTTTTAAAAATAATAGTATAATATTCTACACAATGGCAAAAGTAGTATACGCATTAAGTATAACAGAAAAAATCAAAAGAGAAACTTTGTTGTCATTGTGTAATGTTAATGCTGTCATATTCGATCTTTTGTAATCATACTCGAACAATCATACTCGAACTTTTGCAAATATTGACAATGAGATTTCATAGTGTAACTTAATTTTAAGAACAATATATCTCTGGTGTTGGGTATGGAACAAATTATGTAATTTATATTACTATTGAAAATTAAATTAATATTAGTACTCGCACAAGTAATAAACGTAATAAAGTAATAAAAATATCAAACTTTAGTTTAATCGAATAAAATTTGTAATTAATCGAATCGTTCGAGTTAATGTGATCTACTCAAAATTTTGGTTAAGACAGTGAGCTTGAATAGACAATGATTGACCGAAGATAAACATTAATTTTTCTTAAAACTTTTTTTTTCCTAAGATTTTATTTACTAGTATATTGCGAGAATTTTATTTTAATAGGCTTATATAATGAGAAATATAATTTGTTGTGATAAATATTTCCGTATAAGTAGTCTGCGATTTACCGCATTTTTCATCAACTCACTTTATGTTCTCATACACCTTTGATATATAATAGAATTGTGTTAATGTATCACATCGTTAAATCATAATCACCAGTTAAATGCCAATAAAGTATAATAAATATAATCTTTCAAATAAATAATGCATTTTTAATGGAAACGTATGGATTTATATCAAATATTGACTGATCGTAAAATACTGGATGCTTATTTTTAAATTTCTGATTCATGTTTACATATGTTTTAGTTGATTATATGAATGAATAATATGAATTATAACTATACGAGTGAAATTCCATTACATATAGAAATACTCAAAGCAAACATGAATTTAACATTAATTTTTATATGTTAAATTTTATAATATATTTAATGATTTATGAAATGATATAACAATAAATTAAAAGCTAAACAAATATATAAATAATAATCTTAGTTGTAAAGATAAATTTTATTCGTCTATTTTGAAATTTGAATTTTTCAAAATGTACTTACTTGTTACAAAATTACACAATACAATTAAATAAAAAGATTTTTGACTTATAATTTGTTGTAATAGTGAAATTTATATATATTAAACACCTGAAATATTTATCGTAAATAATCAAAAAATTATTAAAAATATACTAGATGAATATCATACATAATTTTAAAGATGTTTGTAATTTTCTATTAGATGCAAGAATATACATACGTAATGTAAAATTTGAATTATCTTCATACTAATAGATAATGGATGAGAAGTGTTCGTTTTCATTTGGCTTCATTGCAATAGTGTAAATAATATATTCCTAATGAATTTTTTTTTTTTTGTTTTTTTGCAAAATATAAACAAGATTTTCTCGAATAATTTTTCACGCTAGTTAACAGTTAATTTTATAATATCCATTAGAATAGATTGATTACATATATACTTAAATATTTAATTTTTAAATAAAAAATTTTAATTGTAAAATATAGGAATAATATTTTATAAATACAATTTCATTGAAGTAGCCTTAACAACGAGAAATTACATTGTAAATGCTTTACTTACGCATGAAGAAATTTAGGACATGTTAAATTCCTTATTTCTTCTTAAAATGATGAAGTTTAATCGTGTTAATTAAATATAATTATCTTTCGTTAAAAAAAAAAAAAAAAAAAAAAAAAAAAATATATATATATATATATATAAACATATATTTGTGGCCTTTTTAATCTAACGAAAATGTAAACTTATGTAGATATAAAAATTTGAGTAATCTAATAGAATTTAAAAAAATGTTTTAATTTTTATAATATTAGTGAATATTCAACTAGCTAATAAATTTCAAGGACGTCGATTTTCAATATAAAAAAAATTTATAATCTACATTTTCTACGTATACGAAGTATATTTCTATAAAAATTAGTAAAAAATTGGCAGTTACGTATGATTTTGCTCTATGAATTTCGAGATTCGTTTAGGTTTGTCATAAAAAGTATATTAACTAAAATATTTAATATGCAATATTAATTATGAATGTATGAATACATTGCAATGTTAAAACAACGACTAAAAGCAAATGTACTATTACAAAAACTTTGCTTTGCGACGCTAATATTATAGGATTAACGATATTCTAGTGTTGTTAAATCAATGTTTTGCTATTTATTCGTTTATTACTTATTATGTTAGCAGTCAGTTACTTATAATTGTTATTTTTTCACCGTACACATATGTTTTCCCTTCTCACCTGCTTTGTCATAAGGAAGTATATGTAGCACCCCATAGCCGTTGCGTATGTTACGAAGTATGTGACGGGTTCCATAATATCCCAAGAGTATTCCCACCATGTGAGCCTTGCTAAGCATCCAAATTGCATCGACATCAATACTAGAACACCCCAAGAAGCCCACTGAGATCTGCGAGCGGCTGCGTTTTCAATATCCGTTCGCATCTGGAACGAAAGGTAGGCTATGTGAAATTGGAAAATGGATTAACAATGGAGTGGTGATAATAAATTTCTTTCATCCGTATGAATCGAATAGCAGAAACTTACTGAATTTATGAAAAGCATTACGATAAAATTCTTACCTTTGTTTTATATAAAATATAACAAAACAATAAATAATAGAGAGAAAAAATGGTTATTTTGTTTGTTTGGAACAAGAAGGATTAGACGATAAGAAAAATATTTATTTGCTTATAATATAGTTCGTAAAAATAAATGTATTGACGCGATCGATAAATATCGGCAAATAATCATTATCATTTTATATTCAATTGGAAAATACGTTATTAAATTAAAGTGTCAAAAGAATTATAATTCTCCCTTATGATTGATTTTTTTAAATTAATCGAATTTACGTTTTATTAAAAAAAAATTAATTATGTATATTATGAATATAGATCTTAACGTTCGAATTTGTATAGTATTTTAAAATTTAAATTGTCCTATTTAAGCCAAGGCAAAGTACATCCGAACGCTTAAACTATTTTCACAAATAAAATTGTGCATAAAAATTAAAATCATCATATATAATATATATATATATATATATATATATATATATAATATAAAAAAATATATAAACCTGCTCCAGTGGTTCCAATTCCATTTTAATTTCCTCCAGTTGTATTAATATTTGTTGCTCTAATTCGGCATGATATTCTCGTGCATTAAATGTCTCATAAAGTGTACTGACTAAAGTTTGTAAATCTTGCAGTTGTCGTAAATTTTCCTAAAACGTTAAAACGGCAGTCATTTTACACTGAAAATGTCAAGATTTTCATTGAATTTAAAAAATTGAGTTTATATTGTAAATCTACTTCTAATTTATATGCAAATTGCCGCTGTATAAATTACTTATAAATATTTCGAAAAAATGTAGAGTAAAAATAAACTAATAATACAATTGGAAAATATACAGTATGAAATATACTTAGAATATGTTAAAAACTTATTAAATTTAAATAATTTGTATTTATATCTTTTGTATTTTCTAATCAATAAATATTATAATAATTATTATTAATCATACGTAAAGTTGTATAAAATTAATAAATATTAATTTTTGACAACTATTAATGAAAATTATATTCTTATATATACTTAATTATATTGAACCATACCTTTGGAGGATATTCTATGTGTGGGGGAGGTGATACGAGATAAACTTTTTCATTGATTATTAATTTAAAATCATCCAATAACATCGTTTCTATTCTATTAGTTGTTCCCAATTTAGAACCATCTATAAAAATTAATAAACATTTTTTAACGAATGTTGCATTATTTTATTTTAAATATTCTTTGTTATGAAGATCCATTGGTGTCTGTGAAATTTCTATTATTATTACTAAATATAGAATTCATTGATTTAATTATTATTATTGTTATTAAAATATCCATATTAGTTATTATCGAAGATCAAAAATATATTTTTGCTTTTGTAATATTACATTTGGAAATTAAAATTAACGTGCGAATCATATTTATTAAATTAAAAAAAAAATAAATAAAAGCTGAAATAAACTAACTGTAACGCGAGTTTCATTAAAATATTACACAATATTCAATCATTATTGGATCAAATTTGAACAAGTATTACTAATTTTCAGGTTAATGTAGGAAAAGTGTGGCAGTATATCGTAGGAAGAATCTAAAGAGATCGAGAACTGCCGAGTAATCGTGTATAACAATTTCTTTTGATTGTTTTTCTAGATTCAAAGCAAAGGTAAAATATTTGTGATAGTTTTTTTATTACCTTCCTGAAGAAATAAACGAAAACCGATAAGATTTTACGATTATCCAGAGAGCAAATGTCTGTACAGTAAGCCGACTAAATAAAACCAGATTACCTAACTAAAGGAAAGTAGCTTAAGGTTAAGATAAGTCTATCTTTAATAAATACTTTCTGTAAATAAGTGATCAGAATGGAAATTCATTCTCTATTTCATCTATGGATTTATTTTTTATTATGAAGGATCTTCGTTATTAGGTCTGATAAATTAATCAATATTATGTTTTATTTGATACATGCATAATTATAAATTCCGAATGCGAAGAAATTTAATCACAGGCTACTAGTTTATTACAGTTTATTTTCTCTTTACATCTATTAGATATCTTTAAATACATAGAAATTACGACTATTATTAATTATGATTCTAATTAATTCGCAGTTTAATTTAATTTATAAGATTTTAAGATATCTGATCACTAATTAACAAATAATATTCGACTACGTTGCAGAAAATTTCGGAAAATGGATATAAATGTCTAATACAATAAAATATAAAACAATGTAGTGAGCTATATTATTATGCTATAAAAAAAAAAAAAAAAAGCATATAGAATCTTTTTTTTATAAACAATATTCATTGTCGAAGGCTGTAGGATCATAAATATTTTGTCAATATTTTGTCAACGGCCAATTGAGTCCAATATGAGTACGTATTTGTTCAATCATTATTATTTTTACTTAAATCCAATAATATACGATAAATGAAACATAATAATAATAATAATAATAATAATAATAATAATAATAATAATAATAATAATACATTGAAAAATGTAATAATGCAGACTAGATTGTGGTATAAAATGTTAAAATTCGTTACCTATAGTAGTGACGCTTGCTTTAACAACCGTTGGATCTTCCTTCTGTAGCATAATTAGAAAATCACCCACGGTCTGTGTGATTGGTTTTAACGTAAATATGCATTTTTCTTTTCTCGATGGTAATGGAACTGTGATCCTTGGAAGCCCTCTATGATATTCCACTACCACATCTAAAATACAAAATTTTGATAAAAATATAATTTAAATAGTTATGTACGATAAAATATGAAAAATACATATTTAAGCAAAGAAATATATTGTATTTAATAAAATATGTAGATTGAAAGTATTAGATTATATGTATTATATTATAAATTGTATGTCTGTGCATAAGTCTGTGAACAAATAACTTATTATAGGTGAGGGGAGGCGAGGCGAGTCTGTCTTCTAATTTCTTAATCTTAGAATTCGTTTATAAAAGAAAAAAAAAAAAAAAGGAAATTTGCTGACTAATAATACAGATGTCCAGTATTAACATTTTAAATCCGAAAATCATTGAACAAAACATAATAAAAATATATTTATTAAGAATTTATAATTCTAAAATTTGATTTATTTAAGAAATTTTTGATCAGTGATAAAATAAATTATTAGTATAAATATTACATTATTTATGTTAGTCAACCATACAATCCTAAATAATTCTGTTCTATTCCTATTTCGATAGTATGTATTACTTAGACATTATCTAAAATAATATTAAATATATTATGATTATTATGATAATTGATATTACATAATAATACGAAGTAAAAACAATATAGAATATGGAATATGCAACAGCAATGCTTTACTAAATATGTTATATTGCATATAAAGACATAATAATTTGATTTGATAAAGTTTAGGGCAATGATATTTGTTATTTAGAGGCTTTAGTAGAAATTATTATAATAAATGAGGAATTATTATTATAGGGCTATTATATTAAAATAGTTATTTTTTTTTTAATAATTACGCTTTTTTAACATAAATGGCTAAAACATTATTGCCTTGTAAATAAAATCTCTTGCATATTATAAGTAACACAAGTACGAAATTAATCTATCTGTAATTGTCAATCGAGTTATATGTTACATAGGTAATGATGAGATAGCAATTTTATTTCATTTGAGTGTTCTGTGTAAAATTGACAATAAATTTGTGACTAAAATATTGCAAAGTCAAAGAATATTACTTATAAATATTTCAATAATCCTGTTAAGTGAATTCGTGTATAAATTTGTTCTAGATTATCAAAATATAAATATTAATGTTCACTCCTTAGCAATATATATTAAGGCATTAGAATACGAATACAAATTTTTTAATTTTATAGACCTGAAAAAATAGAATATTACAAAGAAAAAAAATTTTTTAGGTATAATTTTTAAAATAAAGTTACATTTATTTAAGGACAAATAAGTCATAGTTAACCAAGATTTGTAAGATTAAATGATAATTTAATTGTAATAAGAAAAAAATCCATTGTATAAAAATTGTACATAAATGGGGAGACAAATGTACAAGGTTCATACGTACTTCTACATTATCTTTCCATGCATAAACAGTACGAATGAAACAATAAAATACGAATTCCCAGAACAGCAATTACTTTAAAAACTCTTTATAAATGAAATAAAATTGTGCTATTTAGGAAGTAAAAATAAGTATATTATGAAGTCGTAAATAAAATTAGAAATTAATTTTATTAAAAGCAATGTCCCTTCTTCGAATGTTATGCCATTGATTACAAATTGCAAAAAATTCAGCATAACACGATGAAATTGAATAAAAAAAAAATCAGTTGTTAACTGAATTTATTTATGTCTAATTGTAAAAATAATGGACCATTCAAAAACTTTTATGACACGAATGGGTAGAAAATGTAAAATCAAAATACGTTATTATAATAGAGATAATATAATATAGATAAAACTTTAGTCGAATTGAGTTATTTAATAATTTCAACGATAAAAAAAAATGACATTGAGATTGCACGAGTTCAATTAACATCGACAGAATAAAAACTATTACGACGGCTATAATAAACTTCAAAATACAAAAAAGAATCTTATAAAGGCCAAATAATTAACCTTAAACATTAAATAATAGAAAACGTATGAAAACTATTTAAAAATGTATTAAAAGAAATAAATTAATTTTTATAATAAAATGTGTGAATCTGTTTACAAATAAAAATTAGAATTATAAAGTAATAATTAATAAATAATGTCAAGGTAAAATCTTGTTTCATATGAGAATAATAACGTATGAGAAGAGACTGTAAATAAATAGTAATATGTATTAATAAGTAATATAAGGAGATAGAAATCAACATAAAACTAATAATTATTTTGTTTCAATAGATAGATTAACAAAATATATAATAAATGTGCAAATTACTTTTATAAAGTAGATTATTATATTATATAAGATCCATCTATCGATTTTTTTTTTTTTTTTTTTTTTTTTTTTTTTTTAATACGAATTAGAACATAACGATTTATAATTTTAAGAAATCTCATTACAGTATACTTGATCAACTTCGATTTTATTTTTCATGTGCAAATACCTTTTCATGTAAAATGCAAATCAATCTAAGTATATTAAAAATGAAGTTAAGAAAAATAGAACTTTAGTTTGATTAGTGAGTTTACATTTTCTATTGTTCATGTGAATATATGATTTTGCATTGTACGTTGAAAAAATAATTTGGATAATACAGAGTTGAAAAAAAGCTTTTGTAAAATTATAGGCATTTTAATATCAATTGTAATACCTATGTAAACGGATCTACATGTTTTTGAAAAATGAAAATAAATTCTTTAAAGAAAAGAAATATTAGGCGCATAAGTTCGATATAACGTACTGGGATCGATAATTTATATATAAATCTGAAAAATAGTAGAATAAGTGCATCTCGCAATAGCAGTTTGTAAATCAAAATGAATTCAAGGGTCGATTACATTACAAGCATAAATGAAACAAAAGGGGATATAAACATAAAAAATAGAGAAGAAATCAAATGAAAAATGCGGTTTAAATGTGAAACTAGTGGATGAATGAAACATTTCTTCTTACTTCTGTTATATGTGTGTGTGTGTGCGCGCGCGCGCGCGCATTTATATATTTTGACATGTACATACTTCAATTAATAGATTGGCGTAACTTTACAAATTTTGTTTAAAATGAATTTATTCTTTCAAATAATTGATAAGGTAGTTACGTAGTTATGACTATAAAACTAAATATATTTAAGTTTATCGATGTGAATTCCATGTAATAAGCTAAAATACCTAATGCATTTTCAATAATTCCGTTCATCGTAATTCCACGAATAATTAATATTCACGGATAATGGAGTTGGTCTTCATCATACACCAGCTCCACTTAAAATGTCTGCAGAAGCAGACAGAAAAAGAAAGATTGCAAAAGAAAAAAAGAAAAGAAAAGAAAAAAAAACAAGAGAAAGAAAAGAGCGAACAAAACAAGCACGACGGATGAGCAGAAGGTGCTTATTTCCGCGAGCGTTCGGCTCGCGTGCAATAATCTCATCTCAGGGCGCATTAGTACACTGCACACCAAGGCCTTGTAACCTGGTTAACCATCGCGAATGTGCGCCGATACGCGCCTTTATAAAGAAAAAGGTATTAGAGTGTGGAGAACGAAATGAGCGAGTTAAAAAAGCGCGGGCAATGGTAGGCGAGATCTGCTCTATGGCGTTAAGCAGGACGGAACAAAACACGATAATCCACCGGCGTTTCTGAAGGTGGACCGATGCGCCTTTACGTGGGTCGAAAAAATGAGAAAAATCCTGCTGCACTGGAGATCCCAATGCCAATGATAAATTATACACGAAGCTACCTGGAATACAATTGCAATTTGACGTATGAAATTCGTGGCTTACGCGTAGCAACGAGATTACATTCTTTGGAGTCGATTGATGGAGCGTTGATGCGGCGACACTTTCACTTATTCGCAAATTACTCATTTTAAACTTGTATAATGGGGAATATCGAGTGTTGTCCTTGTTGATCGAACAGCTGGCGGAAGTGAACATATTAGTCGTATTTGGAAAGCTTTGCTTTAATTATAGCTATGCAAAAATTTGAAAGTTTTCTGCTTGCTTATATTATTATTATTATTTTTTTTTTTATTATTTTTAATTTATGAAAGATAATTATAAGAGATGAAAGTCTACGTAGGTCGTTGATCAACGGCTTGGTTGCTCGAACGGAGTTGGAAAATCTCAATGAAAATGCCCACTACACCAGGGATATTCGTTCTTACATTTTCACAATATTTATAAGAATAAAGCTTTCAATTATACTTTTATAATATATGTATTGTAAAAGTCATTTACTTATTGGCATATTTTATCTTGAGATATCAAAAATTTTACTTTTCATTTTGACGGAACAAAATTTTTTTAAAAACTACTCACAACAAATTTTCAAGTACTGTGATGAAATATAATAATCGATATCCCTGCGTGTAATTGAGCGAACCATTGAGTTCGCAAAACTGACAAAGTGATGAATGAGGCTTGAAAAAAAAAAAAAAAAAAAAAAAAAAAAAAAAAAAAAAAATCACAACTTTTCCTTTAAATGCTGTCAAAATTCATTTTAAATCCCTAGCTCATTTTTGAGAATTGATGCTTCCCGTTTTGGCTATAGTGGCACGTAAACTACTTTTCGCATGAAATTTATGAAAAAAAGTTGGAAATTCCCAAATGCCCTCGCTTATTGTGAGTTATTCTTTAAAAATTGAATTCACTTTGCAATGAAAAGCGACGCACGAATCTTTCGATCAGTTAGGAAAATGTGGGCGTAGTCGCGGAAACGATGTTACGGCATTTTGCAATTTGTTAAACGGCTGATTCAACGTCTGTCCGTTTGATAAGGAAATTCGAAGGAAAATGAAGCAGTAATGCGTGGGAAAAGAGGATTATGTCTCTGTCGCGTTTATATACGTGATTCGTGACCATAATTGACGATTAAAATCTTCTATCCATTTATCAATTGTGACAGTTGTTAACTCGTTGCACTGCAATATGCTATGAAAATTAGAAAGACTAATTTTTAATGCTTATTTTTAAAAATGATAAATTCTTAGCTAGATAGAATATCGATAGAGATAAATTCTTTATTCAAAAGCAAAAGAAAATATCAATAAAATGATATAATATTATTTATATTTCTGTATTGTGTGTGCGTGTGCGTGTGCGCGTGTGTGCGCGTGCGTATGTGTGTGTGTGGGGGGGGGGGAGAGACGATAAAACTGTTATTTAACTGTTCATTGAATTATTTTACAGAGGACTGAATACATATTTTGGAAGGCACGGTGAAACGTAATTACATTATAGATAAAACTATTCAGAACTTTCAATCGTATAATTAGTACGATTAAACGAGCTTTGACATAAACGGTGAAAATACCTTCTAATTCAAAAACAATGAGAGCGTTAAGAATTAGTATTAGTAATCGCAATCTATTTCCAAAACCAAATGAAAACAATTATTAATGGAATCTCGTATTATAATAGTTTGTTAATTGTAAGTGGATTAATTTATAATATTTCATAATCGTCATAAAATTATTCGCATAGCATATTATGTTTATTGAAATATTTATTAACTATAAACAATGTTATTTATACAAACTATTACAATGTACTAACTATTAAAGTAGCCTATTATATGTTATAATTGCGTATTCTTTCCGCTATTAAGAAATATCTATTTTCATGTGTGGAATAATTTATAAATTAATCTATTTAATTTGTAAAACTCTATAAACTACAATCAGTATATAAAATAATTCTTTATATTCGAATGAACTTCATAAAACAAGAGAGACAATATTCATTAAAATTTATATGCCCATATAAGTACATATATTACCGTATTCATAAATGTCTTTAAAATTTTTATTTTATTTTTTCTAATTTAATTATATAATTAAATCATATCATTAATCATATTAATCGTATTAATACAATCGATCAAATCATCGATAAATAATTTAATCCGTATAATTTTTATCTTTTTCATTTTTATTGATAGTAAAATATTATACTTGGCCGTAGATGTACATTTTTTAACTATTTCCATGAAATATAGTTATAATAACATTTAAGAAATACTACTTTTAATAAAATAGATTATTTAATTGTTTAACGACGTTTTATTAAAATGATGTATTTTAAAACTTGTAATTTATGATAATTTACATTGTAATATGTTGCAATTTAAGCACTGTTTGAATTATTTGTAATGGTTCATTAAAGTATTAATAGCTTTTTCATTTGTGTATCTCTACCACTTATGGTGTCGAATGAAATAATAATTTTAATAATAATACGAACGAAAATCTATATGATACAATCCTAACGTAGATTTTGTAAACAGATTAGTTAGTATTAAATTGCTTTGAATCTGCAATTGTATTAATCTCTGATAAATAATGAAATAACAAAGAATCATGAAAAATAAGTTAAGCGGCAAAATTCATGTAAATAAAACGTAAAATATCAAAATTGAATATCCCTGCTTAGTTATAAAAGTGAGCGCTTAGTAATTACTAAAGGCTTTTTCTGTATAACGAATTTCTACTTCTCTCTCTCTTTCTTTCTTTCCGACATGTCTACACTTTGCATAATATGCACACGTTAATGCCTCCCATACGGCTTTTCTTTCCCGCAAAAGAGGTGGCAGACTGGAGATTTTCTCTCCACCTCCAGGCTCTTTCTCTCTCTTTCTCTCTCTCTCTCTCTCTCTCTCTCTCTCTTCCGCTCTCACACATTATTTCTCCACGTGCAAAGAACGGTAATATCCTCGGACCAGAAGATCATCTCAGTCTGCCGTGAGATCTTGTTCAATTAATAGGTAAAATTTCCCCAGCCCAACTTTGCTGGTCAGTGCAACTCCTAATCTCCAACGTCGCACGCCCATAGTCGCTTAACAATCGCGGAGTTTTGCATTCACCGACTGGACCGTCCGTCCACGCACACTGCGGACTGTCGATTTTTATCCGATGGCTTATTGGAATCTATGAAGATCAGTTTAGTGATTCTGATTATGATAGTAGTGGTTTTTGTGGAACAGTTAAATTGTAAAAAGTTTTTTGGTGATTTCATTAAATCGCTTTACTGACACTGATATGTAGCTTTATTACTCTTATTTAAACAAGTATGTTTTGTTTTATTACATTTATATAATTTTTAATGGGTAACCTCCGTCAAATTAAGTTAAGTTTCAATGTCTTCCTTTTTATGTGCAAATATTAAGTTCTAAATTTTTTCTTAATCCAAGCTACATTAAGGCCAAGTTGAAAGAGTTTTTTTATTAGTTTTATATACTTCGCAATGCTTGAAAAATTTTAAACATTTATACACACATACACACATATATATATATATATATATATATATATATATATAAAACTAAGTATATTCGTAGCATGAGCTTTCTCATCGATATTTCCTTTGTTGAACAACAATATATGAAATTTCACATACTTTTACAACATCGTATACATAATTAATTAATTAATTATCAAAAATTTCAATATTCTCACCGAGTAAATAAATCGTAGACTTTATAATTTATATTCTGAAAATTGTATTGAAATTTTTGAATTTTTACGATGAAAAAAATACACAGACACACACTTAATAACACATCCAGGACGTTAAAAATAATTTTTTATAATTTTAGATGAATAATAATAACAAATAGAATTCAACACTAACATCATACACATAAGCTAATTAAAAACTTTATAAATAAAACCAACTCCCCCCTCCCTCCCTCCCCCCACCTCTCATTTACTCATTTTATGGATTCATTTCATAAAGAAAAAAAAATTTTTCAATACATAAACAATTTATACTTCTACAAAAATAATCGCACCATCACATTAACAAATAAAATATAGTATATATATATATGTAAAAAAAAAAAAAAACAAACATTAAACTTATAAAAATAAAAAATTAGAACCGCAAAACGTCATTTTATCATTAAATTTTATTTGGGTCGAAACCTTACGGTTAAGACCCTTTCTTGAGAAAATAAACGTAGGAACAAACTATTCGTTTATCTCTTTCGAGACATTTTCTTTAACATCTTCAGTTCTACTTATAAACTATATGTTCGCTTTTTATACGCGGAATATTCCGCAATCGAATACAGCCATCTGGCGGAGAAATTTTAAATCAAGTTTTTAAATAAGAAGCGGGAATACAGTGTCCTAGACGATTTAATTTGAAAAGTTTCAAACATTATGAATACATTAATATGAGATATAGAATATAGAATATTTATAAAATATAAAAATTATATTTGTTTAATTTATGGATTAATAATTTATGAATGAATCAAATTTATCATCAAATTTATTATCTTCTTTTTAAGTATAAGATATTAATTTTTTAAATCACAGATTAATTTTATAATATTACTTATTATTAGTACATATATGATATTTATATTTATATTTATATTTATATTTAGATTTAGATATCTATGTATAGAATAATATATAGATAAATATACAATATACAATGATAAGTATTTTTCTAATATTTGTAGTGCTAATAGCATTGTATATATTTTATATTTTGATTCAAACAAACATTCTTTTATATTAAACATTAAATGAATAATCTTATACTTTATAACATTTGTTGCTAGATTTTCTTGATATTTGAATAATGGGTGGAGTCCAAAGTGGAACGCATAGTCTCGGCGATGCATTATGGATACAGGAAAGACAAAGACAAAAATGCCAACGGTAAGGGAATTATTAAACAATGTCATTATTAACGACATTCGTTAAAGCTTTGATAAAAAAAATTTAATCTATTCATAATAATAAATTTGAATACAATCATTTATTAGTTATTTTTTTTTTTTTTTTTTTTTTTTTTTTTTTTTTATATAAATATTTATGTAATATGATGTTATAAGGATTTTTTCAAAAATTCTTTTATATAAATTGTGTAATTAACATAATATACTGACTAATTATTTTTTTAATGAAAAAGTAAGAAATTTGAACATTAAACTAAACAACAATAAATATTTTAAAATACAAGAATATAAATAATTATATTAGTATAATTTTGTAGTAACGTGTTGAATAAAGAGTATGAAATTGATTTTTCATTGTTAACATTGTACTTGATAACTTTTACTAAAAATAAATTTACTTAAAATGAAATAATAATTTATGTTCTCATGTGAAAAAGAAGAATAATATAACTATTATTAGGATAGATAAACAAGTGAGAACATTCTCATTAAATAAAGTATACTGATTCTTTAACTAGATTATCAATAAATTTTGAAAAATATTTTAACGAATCTTTTTGATAATATTTACATCGTTACAGTGGATGCCCATCCTGACATACTCTTACATACCGAAATAATATTCATATGATTTAAATAATTGAATTTTATTTTTTTTTTTTTTTTTTTTTTTTTTTTTTTAAATTTTATAGCGAATAATTGATTAATAAGAAAATTTAATACTCTTTTTTTTTTTTTTTTTTTTTTTTTTAGATTTTCCAATATGTTTTCCAAATCATTAAATCTTATATGATAATGTCATAGGTGAACAATAAATTACATTTGCAAATGATAAAACAACAAAGAAAAATATCACAAATAAGTATTGGAATTTAATTCCAATTTAATTTAATGAAAATAGGTTTCATTTAATTAAACACGCACATGCCCAGGCACGCGCAGCGCTTGCGCACATGTATTCATGTTTATGAAAAAAGTCCCAGGCAATTAGAAATTACACTTTTTCTTTAATGACTATCTAACTAAAACCTTTCCAAACAAAAATAACCACGAATATTCATTTACCTATTAAACATTTTATATTAATATAGTAACGAAAATTGTGATAATATTAGTTAAAAAATTTTTAAGTAATCCTAATGCACTAAATTATCTTAACTTTTAAAAAATTTTACTTTAATTATACATTAATTAAACTCGATATTATCAATAATTTAAAAATTATTTATGCGTAGTATAGGTTAATAATGATTTTCTAACATATAAAATATTAAAAAACATGTAGTGTTCTATGATTATTAATGTAAAAACACTGCAATTAATATCAATTTCTATTAATTAATATCAACTTTACTAAACAACGGTTACATGTTACAGCTGATAATTGTTATTATTGATAATAATGGATTTAATATTTCCATATGAAGCGATATGTTGTAGCATGAAAGTCGTTCTATATTTTCAATGTTGAAATATACATTGCAGACGTCAATTACCGTGACACAATATCTTATTTATGTATTTAGTAATAATAGCATACGAATTTCTATAAAAATGAGAAATATATATGGGACGTATGACATTTTACCTATTACATACAAGTCAAATGACCTATGTTTGTGAGAAAAAAATATATTTAATATACAAAATAAATTAAATGAGTCAAATATTATAATAATACTACGCTCACGAATGAAATATAATAAATCTATAAGTATTTAACATAATATTCAGATTTTTTTATTATTATAATACACGATTATTCTTTAAAATTAAATTTAATATTAACTAAAAATTCTTAAAGTTGCTTAAATATTAATAGAATTGCATAAATATTAAAATATTTTATGAAAATTTTTATACTATTATTATGCATTATTTTAATCACATAATCTTAATTCAGATAATTTAAAGTCAGTACAGAATCAATCTTATTAAGGGAAAAATTTGTATTAATCCATAGTGTAATTAATTGCTTTTGAAAATTATTCTAGACACAATAGTCATTTAGATAATATTATCTCACTAACATTGGCATTATCATTTTTATTGATTATAGAAGTTTTCTATAATATATTCGAAAAATATTAATAATTTTAATCTGTTTAAACATTTACTGGAAAATTAAAAGCTATGATTCTAGATATTTTATTTCTAGATATCGTAGATAAATTTTGTAGTTTTATATGATGGCAAATTAGTTTTTCAAAAACGCGGTATATTATCATTTTTACATTGCTGACTTATTATAATTCAAATATTCTTCGATTTATCTTGATCTTATGTAGTATCCATAAACTTTGCAAATTATGCAGATCAGTTATATTTTAAGTTGATTTATAATTACATACGATTGGTATCTTCTCAGAAAAGAAGATCCATATCTACGATTTAATCATTTTTTTTTTTTATTAGGAAATATATAAATTTTTATAGAGGCACTATAATTTTCGATCTATAAATCGGCCTACTTTTAGTAAAAGAAAGATCTAATTCATTAATATTTGTATACTATGTAAATATTTGAATGTACATATTCCTGTGCATAAAATGTATATTGAACGTGTTTTAATAAAAGCAAAAGTAATAACAACCGTTACATCTAATAAGGGTATGATTGAGTTACTAAATTAAAATATAATATAATTTAAAAATATCTTTTTTTCTGTAGCACAAACTTGCTAATTGAATTAAACGACTTTAATTTTTATCGCTGATAAGTTTAACGAGATTATTGATATACTAGCACTTTAAAATTATAAAGAAAATACATAATCAATAGCTTTTGTAGATAATTTATCTTTTAACAGTTTAAAGTAACTGTAAAGGTGTGTAATAATTACAAATGTTAAACATAAAATCAATTGACAATAAAATTTTGACGTAATCTTAAGTTTTTTTTTTTTTTTTCCTCTTAAACGATAGATAATTTAGCGTAATTTAAGTATAATTTAATATGAAAAAATTTACTACAAAAACTGTACTAAATATTCATAACTAATTAATTAATGCACTATCAATGTATCCACAATGAAGTTTTGCATCATTGACAATGGAAACATATTTATAAATTTACTTTGCACAATTTAAATCATACAAAAAATATAATATTAAAGTTAATTATTTTGTTTGGGATTGCCATGTCTTATTATTATAACGTTATCATATGGACCACAAAATGGATCCTTACATTGAGTATAATTAAATTTATTAGTTCTGTCGCATTCTAACTATTCTATCATATTCACTATATGGATTCTTCACAGGACAAATTTATCGAAATATCCTATTTCGAGTTCAGTTCGTTTATTCATAATTCCTCTTGAAAATGCATTAGGAAATATAATTGCAAACACACATCGCATGAAATACAAGAAACTGAAGTCGCATAAAGCACCGAAAAAGCACAGATGTGAGAAATATTGAAAAGCCGATATTGTCAAGAAAATAAGATTAGTGAATGTGGAAGTGGAACAGAGGCAACAAACAGCCCATGGCTTTCACCTTCTAAAAAGGAAAAAATTTGCCCGAGACATCGCATCTCAATAGTTCATCTTTCGTAAGATTTCGACTTGCAATGGGACTTGCACGACGAGGAGGAAATGAATTCTTCTTCTCCGGTGAAAGAGGAGAGAAAAAAATGACGACGGGCGTGTTATTGGCGAGAACTGTTGTGGTCTAATTGCCGTGCATGCGCGCGTCGATGGTTTGGTGCCGCGTATGGACCGAAAATCGCCGACTCGTAACCTACTTGACTTCGGGCAAGTAGGAATCTCGGACACGCGAGCGGTTAATAAGCTTTGGTCGGGACGTTTCGCGCCCATGGTCACGAGGTCGGTCGAGGGAAGGGGGGGGGGTCGATGGAGGATTAAATTCTCCGAGGGATATTGGGAAATTCGCAAGGACGATGAGCGATTATTTGCAAAAAGTTTTTAGGAAAGGAGCTCAAAAATTATCCGGATCATTTGCTAAACAGCGCTTATGAAGTTTCGTCGAGGTAATGATTTGGTAATTGCACGCACGTTTGCTAGACCTCTCGAGGTTGGACTTTGTATGGTCGTTCGAACGTAGCCTGATTTATGTTTTCATGATTTCCCGTAGGATGGAGTTGAAACGGTTCTTTAAGTCTCGAGAAACGTTAAGTGACATTTGACGGCTGGTTTATTAAGAGGATTGGCAAGCAGTAAACGTAATATGGTGACAAATTAACGGAATCAAGGGAAGATTCAACTATTTTTTAGAAAGATTCTTTTTAGAGATTTTCTGTTTAGAAGGATCATTGATGGAAAAATTGATAGAAAACATTGCAGTGAGTGTACATTATCAAGTTCGTTTAAATTCTCGATTGTCAATCGCATGTTAATAATTAATTCTGTCAAGTCAAATCCTGTTAATAATTAAATAATTATTTAAATTTCATGAAAGAACTTGCGACAATTGTTAATACTCTTTATTCGTGTTTAAATATAATTACTTAAGTATTGTTCGAATAACGAAGTTAAATAAATATTGCCCGCTTTATTCAAGTAAGCATAAAACATATCATGCACACTAAAAAGTGCTGAATAAGCAAAAAGAAGTTATAATTATTACCGTAAATAGCAACGGATGCAATTGAAAATGGAAGGAATATTGTATACACATAAATGTAGCTAAATAAGTTGATAAAAAATTTTACTCATTTAACAGCTTTTGCATTTTTTGTATTTTTTATTATTTTTAAGTATTTTTTGTTATTAGTTTTGATTTTTAAGACACTTTTATAGTATTGCATTTTATTAAGTTAAATTTTGAAACATAAATAAATTGTTCGAATAATATTCATTAAATTTACAATTTTGCATCACTTAGAAGCAAAAATATCTTTAAGCAATCCAATTCGGTTAAAATAATAAAAATCGACTAAAATTTATAATTACGTGGTTTTTTATTTCTATATCAATTGTTTGATATAAAAACATTAAAAAAAAAAAAAAAAAA